AAATCCTTTATAAGAGTTGCTGCAAGCTCAAAATCGGAATCTACAGACAATTTATTCAGCTCCTCCATACAAGTACAATTCAGCATTGGTCTTGCCAAAATAATTGTTCCCCCATGCCGAGAACTGGTTCTGGCATAGACGGAAATTACCTTGAAGTCATTAATTTTCATTACTGCTATCTCGTCCTTATCTATTGTAGTCCTTTGTCTGTGGATCTGTTAAGAAAGCTTCAACCACTTCTATCTTATTTCTACTCGATCAATATTCTTAGGTTGAAATTGCTGGCATCGCTATCCAATTCTAGGGTTTCTTTGGAGTCTTGGTGTCATAGCGTTGTCAGGTTCTACAAGTTCAGAAAATGGTTTACTATTATGCCTTTAGGTCAAATTCCTGCGGACATATTCATCCTTTTTCCCAAGAGGCACACCAACGTCGTCGTGTAATACCCGTATGGACTTATAAGTTTTACCTCGCTCAGTTCGAAAATTTGCATATAAAAAAGACGTCCTAATCTGGTTTTAGCAACTAATCTGGATTAAGTCATTACGGTGCATTTGGGCGTAAGTCCTGTACTTTCAGGTAATTTATTACATCGTTGCTTTCCATTTCTGGAGCAAGGTCTGAGATAAAGATATAAACCATTCTTTGCGCAACCTTAAGAAGTGTGTCTTGTTCATTTTTACCCCTAAAGGGCTCTGGGCCGGTATTCTCGTTCTCGAAAACGCTCACCGCTTTTCAGTCGCTCGGCACTTTCAATGTAAATTTGCATTTAAAGTGCCGAGCGACTAGAAAGCGGTGAGCGTTTTTGAGAACCAGAATACCGACCCAGGACGCCCCGGACGGGTATTTTAATTCGCTTGTTTACCACTCCGAACCTGCCTTCTCGATCTAACCTCAATCCAGCCGTCGTTTTGAACGTTACGTGGACATTTGGCGATTTCAAAAATCAATGCGGCACCTGGCGGAAATATTTGGATCTAAATAAAAGAGTAATAGATTGTTTGCTTACATACCGTATTGGAATATTTTCTTGCTTTTTCGATGTTTTCTGTTCGTTCCTAATTTAAATTACGACGTGTTTTGTGTCGAAAAGTGGGAAATAATCAAGGGAAAGCTTTTATTGTGATTCTGTGAGGTGCTTTATTACAGGAATTCGATAGCATCTGCCTCAAAGTTCCAGCACAACTCAAACTGCTGCGTATACGAATGCCATTCCCGGAAAGATGCAGACAGAACTATTCATTTTTACTATTTTCCTAAGAAAAATAGTGATCGCGTGAAAATTTTGAATCTACTCGGACAAGAAGAGGTGATAGATCGGAGAAAAACTGTGGCCAAACTCAAAGACGGGCCTCCATTTTCCACATTTCGTGTTGTATGGATACGAAATGCACAAAAGAAAGTCACAACGTTCAAAATTTAAACAATATAATAAAAAACCACCGAAAAAACTACGAGAACAACGAGAAAATTAGCGAAAGAAATACGAATGCATATAAATACAATGCTGAACGTCAAAATAATACTTGTTTCCCGCCATATTTGTTAACAAACGCCAGCGCCCTCATCGGTAGTCGAAATCGCCATTAGGCAATTCAATCCATCTGTCAGATAGGAAAATTCAATATGGCGTGGCGGCCAAGCAAATTTGTTTTGAATGTGTTTTTATGCGTAGGTATTTCAAATTATTTTGCTTAGAGTTTTGCTTGCAACTTTGATTTGGATTATTTAATAAAATATTTGTTGACTAGGTACCGAAACTAATAAATCGGGCAGAATCTAGATATTTTTTTGTGTTTTTTGGCCCATGTGTGGCCGCCACGCCATCTTGAAAGTCACGTGGTTTGAATTGCCTAATTTGTCTACACAATGTTTACATGTGGCGTTAACAATAAACCTATTTTGGAAAATTCAAAAAAAAGATCCAAAATTACTACCTAAGTAGCTAATACCTATCACTTTAATATCAGCATTCCCTGATTATAAATATGAGGAAAACCGATAATAAAATAAAAATGATTTTAGAAAAGGAAAGTGTGAGGTTAGAATTTATATTATTTTACATTGTTGACACGTTGTCTACATTGTCTACATGATTTACTATTTTACGTGATAATCTACACGTAAAGTATACAATGAAAGTCTACGTGTAGACGCACATCCCTGGTGGTATGGTGGTGCACCCCCGCAGGAGCTTGAGAATGGGAATGTGGTGACAGATACATGTGTTTATGTTTACCTTGGATTCGTTTGTAATCGGTGGTTTCTTCCCTGTTTTTTATTGCAGTTTCCAAGGAACTTCCTTTTTTCTCCACAGTGAGTTGTTTACCTGCAGGATCTCATTTTTTCTTCCTGTTCGGCAATATTCCTCTTAAGGTACCTAAGCTATCCCCACATCCTTGTTTATCCACACTTCGTCCAATATCATGCATTACCATTGCATTACTGATTGATGGACACATGTTGCCAATTTTTTGGCCGCTGATTCTCGCAAACATGATGAATGGGAGCTTTCTACAGATTTTTCCGCTCTCTGGCAAAATGCGCAGAGATGTCCGAGGATGTCCCAGGAGAAGTGGGGATGTCTAATAAAAAAATCGGGGCATTTTTTAAGCTACAGATGTATTTCCTTTGTTCTTTTATTAAAGTAACATCAGCTGCAAGATATACTGTTCTTTCTCCATCAGCGAAAATAAGTGCGCATTTTGTTATGATAGATAGAGTACATTAGGGGCCGATACTTTTTCTCTCGATTAACGAATTTAACACGTGGTTAAATAACAAAGTTTTGCATGAGCCAAGATCTGTGAAGTATGTGGTTAGAGCACATTCAAACCCCTGATTATTTTTAACGGATGTCAAATTCGAAAACAGAGAACAAAAGTACCGGCACTAGGACAATTACAATTTTGCATAGGTAGGGGAGGGGTGTGCTAAGTGAGACGAAATTGGCCCATGTGCGCTCATGAGAGCCTTAATAGAAACTATAAAGATAATGTCTCACAAAAAACAAAAATATACATTTCTTTGTTGAATGTTTTTGTCTCAGTTGGTACCTAAATGTGTACTTAAGGCGCTTTTGCCTCAGATTTTAATCTGCTGTTTGGTAGGCGAACGGATAACCAATTGGTATATACGTGGACGTATGAGTGACGTAAATAGCTCAACAATCCGAATTCAGTGGGTAGGGCGCTTGGTACATTTCGACTTTGACATATTTATTTAGACATGGGACAGAAAGAGACAGAAAGCTACCAAACCTCCACTACCCAGTTACAAACCGCGGTATAGCATTTGACAGACCAAAGCTCCTACCAAAGTTGTTGTGACGGCATCATTCTTCCATCCGAAATGCGATACTTATCAATATAACACAGATATAGTTACCTCAACATATAATAATAATTATTTTGTTGTGTAAAAAAAAAAAAAACTAGCGAATGCTAACTGGACTGAGAGCGAAGTATATTGTCCCACTAGTACTTTTTCGTTCCGTAAATTGAAAGTTAAAAGGCCCTAAAAATCGCATTTATGTTAAAAATGGGTTTTAGGGCTATGTGGAAAGTGAGTTTAGTAACCAAAAGGTATCGGGTCTTCAAAAAAAAAAACAAATCAAAGATTGCTTTGATTACGAAAACGTACGTCGCATTATTGCTTATTTATTGGTTAGGATTTTTGATAAGACATTTTGACATTAATGTTCATTGACAAAATTAAAGACATACGTTTAAAAAACCATAGCAATCTTTGATTGTTTTTATTTTGAAGACCCGATACCTATAAACATTACATCCTTTTACGAATATTCTACAAAATGAATTGTTTACAGATTGTCTTTAAGTAAAAACATAAGCAAGTAACTGGCTAACCCTAAATTTAATTTTCACCTCAAAAATCCGTCAAATTTGAACAAAACAACGCTAAATTTCACAGAGAAGTGTGCCTTGGTCATGTTAATCACCCACTGATGACAGACAGAATTTGAAGAAGGGAAATTTTAAAAAATATCCCAGTTGTCTCACTTACTAGTAAGTACACCGTCTCACTTAGTACCCTCCCGCGAGGGTCCGCAAACTTCTCGTAAAGGAAATACAGAGTGTTAAAATTTTCGGAAAATTTTGACCTTTTGTCTTTAGATTCAAAATGCCTTGAGCGATTTCAATAAAATTTTCAGAGAGTGTTTATGCGATGTTCTCAAGCGTCTTTCTAAAAAATTCGTTATCAAGATTTTATAAAAAGTCTGTAATGTCAACATTACATAAACGGTTGAAAATAAAAATTATTACACAAAGTATTTCATTTTTATTCCAAGCTCTTGAATTTTTTCTATTTAGGAAAATTTATAAGAAAACGAAAATCCAAGAGCCGGGAATAGACAAAAATTGAGACGGAAAAAATCAGATTCAACTAGAGAAATAATGTAGAAAAATTGAGAATTTTTATTTTGGATAAATTCAAGAGCCGGGAATAAACAAAAATTGAGACGAAAAAACTGAGAATTTACTAAAGAAGAAATGTAGAAAAGAGAAAAAAATGGAAAACAACTCTGCATTTTAAAAGCCCTCTCTTACTTATCGTTTGCCTGCGCCTGCCTTTTTTAGAAGACTGTTCCCACAGGAGTCTGCAACCTGTCAGAAATAATCGCTCAGCTCAGCGAAGTTACATATTTATCCTTGAACGACGGTATTGGAAACATGCACAAAACGAAACATGTGCGATTCTTATTGACAGTTTACAGACTGTCAGAAACTCTTGTGAGAACAGAGCTTTCAAGTACGGATAATAGCTTTGGTTGCAGTTTCGTATAGGACATTGCAAGACAGATACATCTCAGAACTAGTACGCTGGCCACCGATCATAAAAGAGACTTAGAAATTTTAACTAACTCCAGGGTTACACTGCAGACATATGCCTCAAAAAACAGTTCACTGGCAAAAAGAGCAAAAAAACAACAATAAATCTAATATTTTCAAATTTTAAAAATTAAGCCAAAAACTCACCTGATGCATTTCCCATTTCCATCACGAACATTTCTCCGACGTTTGAAATTTGAAACTTTCCCGTTATCCAAACTAGTCATTAATCGACCATAAGAAGATCCTGCGACAGATTCATGAGATGTTAACGGTCCTTCACCAATATTTCTCGAATGATTAGAATCTTCAGACACTGAAAATTTTTGGGGCCCAGAATAAATTTTCTCTACCTCTGGTTGCTCTTCTTCTAATGAAGAACCAATCATATTCCTATCGCTTACGATTTTACTAAAATCAATAGTTTTTTCACGAGAATCTCTTGCCAAATGATATTGATAATACGAGCGAAAACGTTTGGATGTTTTCCGTTTCTCTACCAAACACTTGTAGCTGGTTTGAGTTTGAGTTGTTTTTAGTGGTTTGGGATATATTGCGAATACTGATAGGGTATCAAGTTTCAATCTGTTGTTTGGTGGTTTTCTGTTGGACATTATTGGAGGCATAATGTGTCTTGGCAACATATTTTTCCTTTCAGAAGTAGAGCTTTGTTCTTTCGCTTTACGATTCCTAGCTTCAATCGTATTGATAGTTTCTGGGAGAATGCTGATCATAGATGAGTTTAATTGTGAATTTTTGAATTGTACTGGAAGCACAATGATAATGTTTTTATTATCTTCATGTTTTGTAGCACAGGAGTTTTTTTGATTTTCTTTGGTCTGTGGAAGAATATTTATAATTGGCACTGTATTGACATTCATTTGCCTTTGCTGATTTTTGAATCTTTCTGGAGGCGAAATAATAAGTTCGTGTTTTGGCTTAGAAACATTCTTTCCTTTCGCAGAAGAACTTCTTTGTCTTTCTCCATCATATTCAGTTTGAATTGAATTGGCAGTTCCAGGAAAAATATTTATTATTGGTACTGTTTCGTAATTCAATTGTCTTTGAGCATTTCTGAATTTTTCTGGAGGAGAAATAATGAGTTCTTGATTATCTTTATGTCTTGCTTTAGCAGAAAAGTTGTTTCGCTTTTCTTTAGGGTTTTGTATTTGACTAGCATTGGTTATTTCAGAAATTATATTCACTAGAGGAACTGTCTCGCGCTTTAACTGTCTTCGTAGCTTCTTAAATTCTTCTTTAACAAAAGAGCTTTTGGCAACATGTTGAGGTAGATTTCTAATAGGCAAGGCATTTGATTTATTTTCTAATAATTTTCCTGAATCAGTTACACTTGTTGAGTCTTGCTGTGCTGATGAGAAATTTGTATTGAAATTGTTTCCATTCATCAGCCATTGTAAAACATCAATAATAATTTTCTCTTTGGGATTTTTGCAATCTTCATTATTGCTTGTTTTTGCTCGTTCTTTTTTTTCCTTCCGTCTTTTCTCCCGTTGCTGCTCGTAACCGTGTAGAAACAACTCAAATTTCTCATTGAAAATACTCTCAAGGCGACAAGAAAAATGTTTCAATTCATCTTGAAGTTCGTGTTTTATTTTTTCTTCGAGTTTAGTTTTGATAGATTCTATTGTTAGTTCATTTATTATTAGACCTTGGTTATTTTTGGGGTTGGTAATCTTTGTATTGTGCTCACTGCAAGTAGATTTTATCAAAGGTAAGTATTGTTCGTTGGGCCCCATGCCTTCTGAGATATTTTTTGTCTTTTTCCTTGCAGGATTTGATTTATGTTCTTGTTCTGGGTCATTTTCTGTTTTTTTCCTCCGATACAAATCCTTTACTACTAAGCAATTTTTGTCATTTTTATTAGGCATTATTACTTTTTGAATTTCGCCGTTTATTGGTCCTAACTCTAGAGATTTATTTTTTAAGTTGACTTTCTTAGAGTTTTTTTTACTATGATGCTTCTGGTTTTTAGCATCTTTGTCTTCATTCTTTTCAATTAATTTTTGATTTGTATCATTTACAGGTTTTTCTCTTTTAAAAAACATTTTTACTTTATGCAATAATCCTTCATCGTTTTTCTCTATACAATTAATTTGAATGGATTTCTCTTTTATCTTGCGACGCTTTTGTTCTTGTATTGTATTGTTGCTTATTACTCGTTCCAATTTATTGGTCGTTTGATCTCCCCAAACATTATCATCCAATTTTACTTTTTCTTGACACAGCTCTAAGGTTGGATTTTGGTTTCTATATGCACGTCTCCGCTGAGCTTCTTTATGACGTACCAACTTCTGATCTTTTTCAGGCATTGTTGAGAGAAATTACAATAATTTATTGATAGAAAAATACTCCGTTTCATTTGGTTGACAAAATATTGACAAATAATGACAAGGCTCAGGAGCGTATGAAGATAAGTCGAGGCAGGGCCGTAGCCAAGGGGGGGCATTGCTGGGCAATGCCCTATCTTTCAAATGATCATGCCCTACCTTTAAAACACAACATGCGTTAAGGTTTCTCTAAGAAATTTGAGAGTAGATGATGAATAGCTCTGAAATCGAGTAAATGCGAGGATAAGTCCAAAAATACCTAAATGTATGCAACAATTGTTTGTTGTTTGACGTTTACACAGAAGAAGTTCTTCATTTCGAAAAAGAGCAAATGCAAGGATAATACGATAATACTACACAGAATTGCTTATCGGCCTTGTTTCTGGAAATCGCGTCCATTATAGTCCATATAGTGTAGCACCATTGACGACATCATCAATTACATCGTCAGCTGTTTGCGCCAGCGGTCGTAGTTGACGTAGTTTAGCATATACATTTATGATGAAAAATTTTATTTAATTCAAACATAATTAGGCAAAGAGGAAGATGCACACGAGATCTGAAAAAACGTTTTTTTAGAATGTTAATTAATGTATTAAAACCAAGTTTGCATGGAGCAAAAGCCCGCCGAATCATAGCCTGTGGTGCAAACACCCTGTGTTAAGGCGAGAAACGACACGCTGCCTACGTCATCACTGGTTCTTTGGCGTGGTGGGGGGCTTGAGATTTGATCTACAGAGCTATCATGTAGTAGTACTCTAGACCGAAACACACGGTTTTGCATAACGCATAAGTATAAGCCCCAACCAATCATAGGTTGTATTAAAGGTCATCTGATTTTCAGTTGATGATCAGGTGACCTTCAATACAACCTGTGATTGGTTGTAGCTTATACTTATGCGTTATACAAAATCGTAGGTATGTTTCGGCCTTTAGTGTGTATTATCCTTGGTGCGAATGCTTCAAGGCGGCGCGAGAATCAGCGTCATTTTGTTTACTTGTCAGAGATGTTATTTATTGAAAAATTTGTCTTCGGCGCCATTACCCCCATTTTGTTTACCTCTAAAAAGATTAGGGGGGAGGGGCAAGTTAGCAAGTAATGTATGCCCTATGTCAAATTTCTCATGCCCTATCACAAATTTGACTCTAGCTACGGCCCTGAGTCGAGGTAGGTACTTTGAGAGTATGAGAGAAATTGTGGGCCTTCAAACTTTTGAGAATCATAAATTGAGAATTTCTTTGACAAAATAAAGCAAAACTGCAAGCTGATATTTCTACTTAAGGTTTCTTTTCAACTTTTGGTCCACATCTAGGTACTCCCGGCACCCATATTCTCTAGTCTAGAGGTTGGAACCTCGTGCACGCATCTTTCCAAATTACTATAAAAAAACTGAACTATTAAATAAAACCCCAGCTTAGGAGGCTAAGGGGGGAGCGTCGGCAGGTAGCGGATAACCGAACGTCCTATGTTTTTGAACGTTTACATCATAGGTCATCACCGAATACCCAATAAGGTGACGCTAACCTGCTCTTAGACTTTCTGCTTCTACTCTCTACTAATACTCTCGTATAATATCTATTTAGATTAGCTCCAGGATTTCTGAAGTGTAGAGTAAAGATGTGCCATTAAGATAGTATTAGTCATTCATTCACAACTTAAAAGATGATTTGAAATATCCATTTCGTGCTTCAACTGTATCCATCTGGTTTTTGCTACTAAACGTGATTCTTTGGTTCTTTGGTAGGTAGTATCCTATAGTTCAAATTATCCCCGATTTAGAGGTATTTGCATTTTGTAGACAAATGCCTATACGCCTTGAAGCAGTGGACCAGCATCTCGATATCCTCATTCTTCTATGAAAATGTCGCCCTCTTGAATCCACTCAAATGACGGCCGGCCCTATGCTAGCAATAAGAAAGCACAGAGCGCGGAAGTTACTGCTTTTATTTATGTACTACGAATACATGTCGTCAATAAGTCTGTTCTCACAAGAGTATCTGACAATTTGCAACCTGTCATAGAGCATCGCCCATATATGTTTTCAATGCCGTCGGTCGTTCCAAGATAAATCGGTAACTTATCTGGACGATTATTTCTGACAGTTTGCAAACTGTTCATGAATGTTTCTACATTTTCATAAAGTAACAAAAAATTGAAGTGTATGCATCTGATATCTTTTAAACTTAACATAACTCGGAAATGGCTCTTTGGATTTTTTTGTGCCAATGATAATTTTTATTTAAAATGTCCAGGAGCAAAACATATCCAAATTTCAGATAATTTCACCTAAAGCCATTTTCCGTAAGATTGGTGCGGGGTCCTTTCAAGCAAATTGAAATAAATTATATCATTGGAAAGAGCATTCAGCTGGTATTCGAATATATCCATGTTCTTATAATTATTCAGGAATTAGATCCAAACTGCTACAGATGAGGAGCTTGGAAGAGGTCTATATCCAAGAGAGGATGACTATAAGATGCCAGAAAAAGAATAGTTTCGGAATCCAATCCCATCTCTATGAGAACTTCGTTTGACCCCGAAGATAGTTTATAACATGGTGAATCTACAAACATCACCATAGTCTTATTTGCGATATTATCATTGTGATATTTAGGTAGATGTTCTGGGATTCATAAGATTATAATTGTCTTACTTTGGATATTTGAAAATATTCTTTCATGGATTTCAAGACAAACATAATTATTAATTAGACTTCTATAATATCATCATGTCAATTATTTGGCTCATCAGCCTAAAATTTATTGAACTTCACAGAATAAGCGAACAATGTTGGGTCTAGCAAGAAGGTATATAAAGACCCCAGATTGGGCGCCACATTTATGTTTATAAGCTAAAAGACAAATTTCAATTGTTAAGTCAAGTACCATAGTAATACCCGACAGGAAGTAAAAAAGCCCTTTTGGCTCCCCCATTGTTAATGTTGACTTCCTATATTGATTTATGGTACTAGTACAAAAACGCAGGTACGAGAACAACAACACAATTCAATTACGAAACCTATTACCACCCATGAAGGTGGGGACCAATATAGAAGTCTCAAGAACCCGTTTCGTTTTCTTCAAACTCAGGTATACGGTTTTCAGTCGGCGGTACGGTCATCTACGTCGCGACATGCCCGCAACAGCAAAGTTAATAGTAATTGCTCATTAAAAATAGCCCGTGGGCGTCAGCTCGTTTCGATAGGAAAAATTCTTCTCGCTGCGACGACGGTAATTTTCGCTTCAGTACAAAATGCGGTTCGCTGTTCACTTGGTGCTCGGTGCGGTTTTTCTTAGTTTATTGTCGTCGGGTTGGTGCGACCCCAAGGCGGCGATTTATGTGGACAATGGCCGTGGACAAACTGCCATCGACAGGATGATGACCAAAGACGAGAAACGCGAGATGGAGTTGGAAATTTTGAATTTGTTAGGTGAGAAATTATTCGAACAAATTTTCATGAAACCTCATATGCGAGATTTAACAAATTTCAGTCAAAGACGCATTTTGATTGAGAAATATTTAGTTTTTGGTAATTAATGTTTACGAGATCTTGCCGGCCGTGAATTTTAATATTTACACAGCTGTAGAGCGACTATACATATAACGCTGATATGTTATAGAACAGTGGAATGTGTTAAATTGTAGACTTAAAGTAAACTTGAAAATGTGAACAATCTGCTAATTCTTTGTAGAGGAAAATGCTTTTCTTACTATGATTTAAAGCACTTCTAGGTTTGATTTTTCCCATAGCTTGTTGTAACTCTTTTTACATGCATTATAAGCATTATAAGCATATGCATTATAAGCATTATAAGCACAGGTTTTTGAAGGAACCTATCTCACCTAGAAAACGCAGGGTCTGTGCCATAGACAAGTTCTGGACAAAAACAATCAACATATTTTTAAATTTGTCCTCAGTTCCAACATAACCCATGGTAAAATTTCTATTCAATTGGGATTTTCATAACATTTCATTGAGTATGATTGGTGGAACCTCTCTATGATACCACTAAAACATGGATGACATACTATTTGACAATCCATCCAATATCCAGTTAAAAACGTTTTTGCAACTGTTATATTCATGATGGAAAAACTTCTGGCCATCTTATATATCTGTCTATGCAAGTGAGCAAGTATATATATAAACATCGAAAGGCGAAAGGGACAATGTCCATATGAACTTCAACAAATCTTTGTCTGTGGAATTACTTGAACGAAACCATTTTTTAATGTCCTTCTTCCATATTCGGCCATGCAAAATTATTTTTAATAAGTGTGACTTAGTATAGTATAGTTCTAGAACCAGGATGTGACATAGTCCAGATGCACACAATGATTTTTAATTTTTATCAAAAATATTTGCGTAAATTCAAAGGAATGAAGGGCCGATACCTATATATTTTGTTTGTATCACAGATAATTTAAATATCTTAATCTGGAATTTCGATTTCTCCAAATTTTTTGACTGAGACCTAATGCACAAGAAGTTTCTTCTTCTCTTGAGAAGTTTAGAACATCGTTATTCCTTCTCTAATTTTCTAGAGTGCTCTCGAAGGTTTGTGGTTGTCGGTTAGAGTACCTATATACAGTGACCGCCAAAAAGTTTGCAACAAATGGGAAAATATTTTATTATTAAGATATCAAAAAGGATGTTACGTGGAATCAATTCAGCATACATATCAACAAAAAAAAGCACTGTGACAGATGTCATGTGACCACAGTTATGGCGGGAAATTTAAAAAGTTCGCCTTAAATATGTAAAAAGTGGGATTAGATAAACAGAAATCGAAAAATTGTAGAGAGAAAAGTGGTTCAGGATTCGATTTTACGTCCATTTGTCAATTTTTGAAAAGGTACAAGGATTTTTATTAAATATCAATTTTTTGGTCTGTTTTCTGGTAATTTGAAGAATATCAAAAACTTTTCGCAAAAATATTGGTTTGATTGAATTTAGAAAAGAGGAATTGGATCATTTAGAACGATTTTATGATATTTCCAAATTTGTTATTTCAAATTTTTGTTTTCTGTAGGTCATTGCAACAAGACCAGAGTGGTCTGAAAATGAATTTTTGGTTTTTTACAATTTTCCGCGGGACAATTAAGCAGAATGATCGCACGGGTTTTTTTTTTGTTAGTTTCACTTTGAATTATGTGAACCAAGCGAAAAGTTTTTGAAATTTTTCAAATTACCAGAAAACAGGCCAAAAAATTGATATTTATTAAAAATTCTTGTACCTTTTTAAAAATTTACACAGAGACGTAAAATCGAATTCTGAACCACTTTTCTCTCTACAATTTTTCGATTTCTGGTCATCTAACCCCACTTTTTACATATTCAAGGCGAACTTTTCAAATTTCCCGCCATAACTGTTGTCAGATGACATCTGGTCAAAGTGCTTTTTTTTGTTGATGGGTATGCTGAATCGATCCCCCGTAAAATTCTCTTTGATATCTTAATAATAAAATATTTTCCCATTTGTTGCAAACTTTTTGTACATATATTCAAGTTGACAGAGTAGTAATTGCTTAAGATTTTAAAAGTTGTGATTAGATTTCGATCGATTAGGCTAGTTAGGTTGAACTCCTTCAGACGGTCTTCATATGTGAGGGTTTCTAGTGGAATTGTGGTAATTCTTCTTTTCCAATACCTCAATGTCCTTAGCATAATAAGGATTCCAGACTGACTGGGCATACTTGTATATTTTTAGGATTGTAGTAACTGAGTGATCCTTGAATGCTTTTTGCGTCAGGTAGGCCAGAGAATTAGCCTTTTTAATACATTTGAGATATGCGCTTCTGATTTTAAATTGTTGGTCACAATGATGCTCTCTGGTCTAGGTAAACGACATCAATATAGGTTGTCCTTCCTCATTCATTTTCGTCCACAAATCGTTAGTAGGTTGGTTTTAGTGGATCCGAGGGGTAAACCACTTTGGAAAATATGTACACCAGAATCCCACTTCTAACCGAATCCTACTGAAATCCTACAGCATCTTACTGGAATCCCACACAATCCTACTGGAATCCTACAGAATCGTTCGTTGTACATTTCATGACTGTGTAAATTGAATTCTACTCATTTTTGAACTTCTGCGGATATATCCATGAAAAAATTAACATGCAACAACCAATCAAATTTTATAAGCATTAGCATCTAATAACATTCTAAATCATGCAGTACATCAAATAGCAATACTCTATAATAACAACTGTAACCATGGACTACTGCTTATTTTCAGATTCTTATATCAAAGTTCTTGATTCAATCCATAACCATAACTGCTTCCCTACTGGTTGGGTTTGCAAAAATTTCTTCCATCTGTATCGGACCTCCTACCACTACTATCTTGTTCAGTCTTGAATACAGTCAATCTGTCGCACCTCTGTTCAGCTCACAGTTTAAGAGCACATTGATATCACCCACTTCACCACATTCACAATTCTCGCTGCCCTGCATGCCAAGTTTGTGTTGAGGTATGAGGCAATCTGTAGTTCTCATTCTGCAAAATACACTAGTTTCTTTGTCGGCAATTTTAATTTTTGAAAACCACGATGTTCTTTGAGGTTTCTTCGTTAATTTGTCATATTGGCTTGAATGATTTCTACCTTTGTTGGTGAATTCCACAGCCCATTGCCTCCATGTTTCTTCCTTAGCTACTCTGAATAGATCATCATTTCTGTTGATAGCATTATTTGCCTCTCGGTTTCATCCAGCAGTCTATCTGCCTTTTTCATTTTCTGTTATGCCTGTATGTCTAAGCACCCACAGTATTTTGATTTCCTTTCCTCCATCCTGCATATCTAATATTTTCTTATTCCTCGTGATTCCATCAGTTCCTCTGTCGATGCCATCTCTGACAATTTCCAAAATAGCACTTTTAAATTCCGATAATAAAACAGCTTTTTCTGTCAATCTTTAACGTATTGAGGGCCGTATATATTATGGCTAGCACTTTTGCTGAAAAAATGTTGGTTAGATCCTGGCATACTCATATTATTGAGATTTTCTTTATGTTCTTGTATAGTCCAATACCGCAACGTGTTGATATTGCCTATAAAGATGCATCTGTATATATTTTTTCATGGTCCGAGTAATAAGAGTTGGCTATCTGGACATGATCTGTACTGAACTTTTGTATATTCGAATCCACCCAGTCTATTTTTCACAGTTGAGTTATCGTTTCCTCTTCGAAACATGGCAGATTGTCCGATCTTTCCAATATGCGGGCCGACACACAATCCACTCCCACCCTAACCTTGGACCGCCAATGAGGAGGATCCTGATTGTAACAAGCATAGAAGTTGAGTATTAGCCTATTGACCTCGTCTCCTCTATAGACTACTTTCCTGAGCATCAACTTTGTACCTATTTAGTAGATTCCTTCGCTTTATCAATGGCATTTCTGCAGCTTCACATAACAACGTCATTATGGGAGTGCTTTTCATGCAGCCAGTCACCACTCTACTGAATGCGATGCATTTTGCCAGAATTCATCTTGCTTATGTGGAACATCGCTTGACAGCCATAATCAAATAGGTTCTAAGCAGCTCTTTATAATTGCTCAACAATATATTTAGGTCAACGCCCCACCAGGTTCTTTTAATTGCTCGCATTATGTTAATTCCTTTCTGCGCCATGTTAATCACATATTCAATGTGTTCGTTTCACTTCAACTTCCTGTCCAATATGACACCCAACTACTTATAGTTTTCAACCCACTCAATTTATCTATTCAACACCCTTATATTTGTTATTGGATTATTTCTGCTACCCTTGGAAAACAGCATGGCTTTAGTTTTTTTTTGTTGAAATATCAATGTTATGACCCCTTAGCCATTCTGTCAATCTGTTCAAAGCAACCTGCACTCTTCTTATCCCTTCTTCCACCTTTTTACCAGCTGCTAACAGTACAATGTCATCGGCATATTATAATGCAGAAGCCTCACCAGTCATAATTTCCTGAATTTGATTGCTGTACATGTTGAATAACCGAGAAGTCAGAAGCGATCCCTGCAGCAACCCCATGTGTGCTTTCTGTGGTTTTCATAGAACGGTTCTCTTATAGTTATATTTCTATCTGAATACAAGTTATTGGCTCAATAATCCATTCATTAACCCCGGCTTCTTTCAGCTTCTCCCTAAGAATTTCCAGTGATACATTATCATTAGCAGCCCGAATATCTATGAAGGCACATTCATACTATCACTTCATTATTGGTGCATGCTGTGTAAATTGAATTAGCCAGAATGACCAGATCGTTTATGGTCCCTTTCCCCTTTCTAAGCCCATTTTGGACTACATCAAAATAGTTTGTTTTTTTCTCTAAGAAATGCTCTAAACGTGTCTTAACCGTGCTTTCTATTAATTTACCAAGGCACGATGTCAAAGCTATTGGTCTGTATGTTTTAAAGTCTCCAGGATCTTT